CCCAGGGAGGAGCACAGAACTTTACTCGGGTGACATTCACAAATGTGTTGATGCAAGATACCTCTACAGCTAGGACCGCAGCTAAAAACAGCCATGATTTAAATAGTTTTAAAACAACAATAGATGTAATGACTGTGAGTGATGCGACTGGGGTCACGTGCAGTGAGGAAGTATCTGTTAACATTTACGGCCTGACTGGGTTTCCTCTCAATTCTACAAAGCTTAGTGTTTTGGTTTTGAGTCCAGCAACATTCTAATTCACTGTCAGGGCTCTCATTATGTCCTGTCTGGCTGCAGCAGGCAGCTGTTTCCAGGCGAAATGCTTTAAAACCCACTACACCCAGTGACAGACAGACAGGGTTAGTGACGAGCTGGCAAGTGCAGTGGATTTAACAGCCTGTTATTTCCCACACAAGTTAGTGGAGAGAAAATGCTGAGCTGAAAGAGAGATATTATATTCCCCAGGTGGACAGAAGCATGGCTTAAAATAAATCAGTGATTCCCTATTTTGTTGCTGAAACTTTACTTGTTATCAACTATTTTTTTTTCTGTTGCCACCAAGTGACACACAACTATTGATTGAAACAGGGAACTACAAAAGGAGTGCTCCTCAAGTGATGACCTCAGACTTTCATAGTTATCAAAGGACCTTTATAAGTAACAAGGTCAGGGTCTCGATCAGTTTGCACGGCAATCAGGAAAAAACACTCGAAGGTTGGTGGACAGCACACACCTATCTAGCAATGTCAAAATGAAAAACAAAATCCTGGATCCACCCCCTCAATTTATTTCACTCCTAAATTAAAGGTTCTTGGACCCACCCTTTACCGAGTTTCAAAAAATTTGGCTCAGCAGTTTTTACGTAATCCTGATAAGAGACACTAACAACAAAAAGGTGAAGGTAATAATGAGGCCCTCGAGATCTTCCAAGATAAAAATACAGTTAAAAGGAAGTGGTAGTTTTTAGAATGTTTAATTATTTCACATTCTGCATTACTGTCACTATTGCTACAAAACGTTTAAATTAACTATTATCGAAGGTCTGTATCTGCATTGTGGGATGTTTCTTATCCAAAACAGTCATAAAAGGGACTTCACAGTTAATAAACCCCACATGTGTCACTCATGTCACGGTCAAAGGGAAGTGGCTTATCTCATTCTAAACCTTTGACCCCGAAGTGGCCAATCTGAAAGACCCTTATATTCCGTGGCCGTGCCGACATATTTCGTAATGAGCTGTTTTTGGGGCAGTGTTGTGCACTACATTTGCCATCGCTTCATAAAACTGCTCTGAGTGCTTTGGCATCACAGGACTGACAGCAGTTCCCAAACCCCCAAACAAACAGGCTTGGGCTGCTCCACTGAGACAGTCGAAGCAAATACAAATAATGGAATGACAGAATTCCAGCCGTGCCCATGAGCAAGTGTGTCTGCAGAGACGGTATTATCTGCACTGAATAATCCATCAATCATGATTTGTGAAACATTTTGAGAGGTGTATTATGTGTAACTTCACAGGCCAACTACGTACTCTCAATTTATTGCTTTTTCTTAAGTTTGTTAGATATTTGGTTTCAGCGCTTAGTTTCGATTTGAATCATCACCTTTCATTCTATTCAGAACGTGAAGCTGTTGAGTTGTAGGTTGAAGGATGATTGATTACAGAGGCAGAGTGGTGCCCCCCCTCACAAAGTCAATCTGTTGTGTTTTTCAAAGCCAGAATGATGAAAAATGAAGATAACGTTTGATGATACGCACACACACAGACACATGCACATGTAAATATGAGTAAGAATACAGTCGTGTGCAGTTCCCCCTCTGTCTCTCACTTTATCCTTATTTTCCTCTGCTTCTGTCTTTGATCATGTCTCTCTTTTTTCCTCACACGTTCACACTCATACACACAAACACACAATCCATCCCATCTATCTCCGCTATCTACAGACAGCATCCCCTGCTCCTTGCTGACAATGCTTGGGATTTACTTTGGACACGGCCTTGATTCTCCCTGTGTATCTCTTCGTGTTCGTGTGTGCGTGTGTGTGTGTCACAGGACGTATGATACATGTTTCCCCTCAATTCCTTCGGTTGTCATGGTGACCTGTGACTGTGCATGTCCTTTCCTTACCACCAGTTTAGCCCATCACCTTCACTGTAGATTCAATTTACAGTTTTGACTCTTTAATTTGCATCTAATTTAGTTTATTAATCTTGTATTTGACAAACTCTTAAATCAATTGTTGTATAATTAAAGGCATCATAGACTTTACATCATTGTTTGTTAAAAGTTTTTTGGAGTTTGCAAGTTTTCACTTACACATAAGTCAACTTTTCACTCAGTAACAGTCTTAACTTAAGAGTTACAGTTTCTATTAACTGGTTAATAGGCTCTATGGTTTTTGCAGACAGATTTCTTCACATTAAAAACCATAGTAAAACGAGTTGCACTGACCATCTATTCACAGTTGTGATGGGGGCAAGTTAAATATGGTGAATAAGTGTTAAGAGTAATTGCTTTCACAGGAAAACAGTCTTTTTAGCACAGTTAACTAAAGAGTGGATGGACTTTCATATGTTTTCCAAAGACCTGCTTTTATCCCTGCGGAGCACCAGCTAAATGGCCTAAACACTTCAATCTAACTGCAGTCCCATTTACTTAAACTGTTTGACAGTGGGCTGACAGAGCGCGAGGAATGGCGATACAGTGAAAGACAGACAGAGAGAGGTTGCGGTATTTGTTTTTTCTGTGATAAATATAGGAGGTGAGTGGGTGGAATAAAAACAACCTAACACTCCAGCAGGATAAGAGAGGAAACACAGAGAGAGAAAGAAATAATGACACCAGGACAGACACAATATGACACAGCGACAATAACAGTGAGAAAGCGAGGGAGAGACGTAATGACACTTAAGGAGGATATGGGAGATACTAATATAGAGATAATTGTGATAAAAGAGGGATGGGGAGACATTGGGAAGGATGAAGGGATGAGAGAGCAGGACAGAGGGAGAAAGACGTAAGGGAGATGGAGGCTGATGACAGAGGGCTGGGGAAACAGATACAGGGAGCTGCAGGGAGGAAAAGATGCATGGAGAGGCAAACGGGAGGCGATAACACCGCTGCAATGAAGAGAGCAAGGATTGGACATATAAGGCTGAGGAGAGAAAGAGATAGAGGAGGGGAGATGGAGAGACAAACACAATGTGGAAGAAACACGACGACTCTGACACAGAGATAATGAAAAAGAAGGGGGTGGAGGGGGGTACTTGAGAAAAGGTGGAGAAGCGAGAAAGAAAACGTGGATGGAGAAAAACAGACCAGACTCCTCTCCTCTGTTCTCCTCTCCACTTTTTCATCGCTGGTATTGAATCACTGCAGTCAATAGTTCTACACAGCGTAACTTAGAAAGATGCATTTGATTTGTGGCCCAGCACGCCATGGAAAAAGAAGGCCGGCATTTGATTTATGAGCCGGGGACCTTGTGGTCAGGTTGGACTCGAGCGCCCCACATCTTTGCTGCTCCTCGGCACCTAAAATTTAACAATCTGTCTGATTGTTATGTAGATCTGTGCACTGACCCAATCCCTCGCTGAACAATGCAGTAGGTGTTTGAGTTGTTGGGCAGAAATGATAAGGAAATAATTCATTTTTCTGCCTTGGTTATATCTACAACGTCTATACTGTGAGATGGATTGAGAATTACTTTGGTTCGATTGTTAACATGCTGCGCTGCACTAAGATCTGAAAAAATCCTCAAGCAATTGTTCGTATCATATTTAGGTCTTTATATAAAATGAAAATAAAACTTTAAACTGGAGAAAAGTCTTATAGCTTGTGGGATTTAAATCAAACAAACACACCTATAGGATTTAGTTGTGTATTTTGATAAAGACTTACCCAGTGTGCAGGTTTACATGTGTGTAGGTGTCTTGACCTGAGTGCATAGCGCATCTGTACATATGTGTTTATCTGTATGTATTTGCAGCTCCTATTTCATATACTTCTTATAGACACGACCATTCATTCAAAAATAAAATTAACACATTCACACTCATTACCTTTTACGTGTAAAAGTAACACTGTGCCCAGAGTGGAGAGGTTGAAAGGGAGAGAGAGAGACAGAAAAACATTTATTCATCCCAGAATATTTGTGTTAGCTTTTTGATACACAGAATATCTCCTAAACAATGTGAAAATATTTCAAAAAATCTCAAACATGTAATGACATAGTCAATCAGCACATTTCACCACTGTAGAGTCAGAGATAATTTCAAAGGTAATGTTATTAAATGTATCTGTTAAATCTTCAGCGACACAAGAAGTCAGAAAATGGGCATAATGAGTGAGGAAGAAGGATGTAGCAGGTGCTCCATGTTTAGCCCTGCTAAACACTTTCCAGACGACATGCGTATCATGAGAACCAAGAAGGAATAGTGTTGTAGCGATGACGTGCTTCTTTAGGGATGAAAGTGTCAGTTGGTCAGTTTGCATGTTTACAGCTCTTTGGTTTGAACTAAGATTTCTCTACAACTATTGCTTGGATTTCCATGAATAGAACCTGTAATACTTTATGTTAAACAGACATTAGCATTGCAAACACCCAAATAGGACGGTGACCATGGTGACCATTGAAGGCTGCTGTCTGCCTGCTAATCATTCATGCTAGTGTAGTTATCTTGAACATGTTAATGTTAATCTCGGAGCACCACTTTGTGAAAATAGAGACTCAAAGAGCTGCTAGCATGGCTGCATGAGCGACTCTGTTATTTCTTACTGTGAGTAAGATGTTACAGTGTTTTATTGTCTTGCTCACACTGACAGCTGTTGGGAGGACTGACCATATGGTTTGGTTGTTTGTTACGGGACAGTCTCTCCAGTAGAAAAACTATGATGAACAAACAAAGACTGAACCTGAGCATGAAAATCTAGAGGGGGAAGAAGAACTCAGAGCTAAGTCAACAAAGAGGCAAAGTGTTTTTTTTGCTGAAATGCCCCAAGTATGGGGCTGCAATGTGGCATCCAGTGTGATGCAAATGTCCACCGAATTCTACTCATCCCATCTGCTCAGAGGTGGACAGAGGGGAATCTGGCAGCAGAAAAGACTGAAGACGGGAAGAGAGAGACAAGTAGAGACAGACTGAGGGACGGACACAAAGAAGGCTGAGGGGGAGAGGTGAATTGGGTTGGAAAGAACGCGGAGAGCAATCTGAAATTAATCTAGACACTCCAGATGGTTTGTGTGAGCACATGTACATGTGTGCTCCTCTGTTGTTGCCAGCTTGTCCATTTGGGCCTGTGTATAGGTATTTACGCATGTTTGTGTGTTTTGTATTACCTCGGACAAACAAGAACATCTGGTATGTGCACAATGAGAAAGTTCCTATCTCATTTTGATGGGAAAAGACAAAAAGGCCCACACACGAATACACACACATTCACAAACATGTGCGCACACACACCCATTGATGGATTGGATTGTGACCCAGCAGATAGTTGACTTTGGAGTCTACAACACATTTCTGTGCGTGTGTAAGCGAGAGTGTTCTCGACGATATAAGGTTAATAAATCAATAGCCATCGCTATCTGAGAAACAATTACTGCTGGCTTTCATGTTTGCCACACACAACACACATACACACACTCACATACTGTGCGCTTCGTGCACTGCATATTCTAGTAGCTGTAGGAGTAAACTGTATAAAGTGTTTCTGGAGGAGAGAGTAGCATAAGATGAAAGATGGAGGAGAGAAGTGGAGAGAGTTTGTGTGGAGTGAGTGTGGAGTTTGTAAATGAGGGATGAGGAAGGGAGGCACAGCACTGTGCCATAGTGGAGGATCCTTACACCCTGATTGTGTTTCATTTTTTTTCTCTTGGCTTCACTTTTTCCACGTCATATTCCACTGTTGCCTTTGATGCAGCTGAACAAACTGTGGAAACTGAAAGTCGCATGCTGTGTTTGATCCATTAAAACCTTCTCATCAGTTTTTCTTCATCCTTTTTTTTTTTCATCATAATTCAATTTTGGTCAATTAATGCTTACATACTTGTTTCCAATTCACTCGGCTTTGTTTCGCATTCGCTCACATTGGCCTTCTTCACTAGCTCTTATTAGGTTTTGGTCTTTTTTTTGGGTGGTTCTGGCGGGTCTCCTCTGGTTCTGGTTCTGTTTTTCTGCCTATCAGCAGTGAGTTATGTGTGTAGCTTTCATCAGATTTGTTACACATTATCTCAGCTTTTGGCAGCTTTAACTGCTTAATTACTACTTTGCTGGCCTTGTTTTCTGGCTATTCATAAATTCTTCAAAACATAGGGTCTATTGCCTGTTCTTCTGTGTGTGTGTTTGTGTAACTCCTGTGAGGTTTTCTCGTACATGTGTATGTAAGTATTCTGCAGCGACCGACACTCGGCGGCGGAGATATCAGATGCCAAAAGTACTGCTCAAATAGCACAGATAAAAGTAAAGGTGGTGCAGGAGCATATAAGCACTTACTCTTTGAACCTCTTACAGGTTTTTAGCAGAGACATTTTTATTATACAACCATTTGATTTCTCTTACTTTAAAACAAGTGGTTTTAATTGCATGATAATTACACTTTAACCACAGCATAGATTTTGTAGAAACACTTAAGTTTAACAGTTTGTATGCTACACGTAATTATCCAATCTGTTGGACATTATGTGCAGAAATGTGCAGAAATGCATTTTCTGACAAACATTTAAGAAAACTTTTTTTTTTAAAGCTTAGTTGCAGGTTGGTGTGTGTCGTGAAAGGTATAGGCTCTATGTGTATTCAGTGTGAAGGGAGGACAGTGTTGGGATTGTGTAAGGTCTGCTGTCTACATGCTTTAATGTTTGCATGTTTTATGTCATGAGATTTTAATGAGTGAGCAATGCGATCACACGGTGCACAATGTTAAAACAACACCCTACAATATTCTGTCCGTGCCTGAATGCGTATGAATGTGTCATGGGAGGTTATTTGCGGTTTGAGATCGGTGCCCTAACACTGTCGGATTAAAGGGTTAGAGCCATGAAATCTAAATGTATACAGTGTGTACTCCTATTCAGGCACTTTGCATTAAAAGCTTTACATGACACACGCTTTAGTGTCAGGGGAGGCGGTGAACCATGTGTTGCATTATGTTGGAGTTCCAGCAAGTACAGGGTTTAGTGCTCACTTGGCTTGGCACAGAATGTGTATCTAAATCTGCCCAGTGTTTTATTTCAATTACACAATCCATTGCATTATTTCCAAAGGTTTTTAAAAAATGTATGATTCCCTTTCTGCACAGTGATATGAATCTACATGTACACTCTATTTCTAGTCCTAAAGTCTATTCAGATTTTGACAAACGTTACAAGGCTACAGGCCAAACATGACAAATCTGTATCTTTGAAGTCCTTGAAATCTGTCGTATACAAGCCAGACGTGATTTTACATCGGACTGCTATTCTATAATCTAATGCAGGATGCAAATTTGAGTTATTTGTATTCTAATATGATATTGTTTCATCTCTCTCTTCCAGCTGAATCTTGTGGTGGCGTAGTCCAAGGCCTGAATGGAACCATAGAGTCGCCTGGTTTCCCCCACGGCTATCCCAACTACGCCAACTGCACGTGGCTGATAATAACAGGGGAGAGGAACCGAATCCAGCTAACCTTCGTCACGCTGGCACTGGAGGAAGACTTTGATATTGTATCAGTTTACGATGGACAACCATCGCCTGGGAACTTAAAAATGAGGTCAGATATCATTCTTTCATTTACAGTTGGATCTTTCCTGCTCGTCTGCTCCTCTGATCTCAGTCTTCTCTCTTTCTCTTCAAACCTCTTCGAGTTTCACACTTTCACAGATCTACTCTCCTCCCGCCTCTAAACAGAAAGTTGACATTTGGACAACAGCATACTGACATCTGAGCTTTGAATACTTATTACATTTAGATGGGGAATGACACAGTGAGTCAAAGAAGAGTGTTGGCTTCAACATGAGTAGATCTTCTGTCTTTCTATTTGGATGAATAGTTAAAAAAAGGATATATTCATGTGCATGGTATAGTTGGACTTAAAAAAAAAGTCATTGAGTAGTTTCCTACACTTAAAGCATTGACTGTGCTATTAACAGAGTATCACAGTCATTTTCTTGGAAATACATAAATAAACTGTATATGACAGTTAAGAAAAAAACTTCACATTGGCAAAGACTCAGAGATATAAAAATAACTCATCTAAGATAACAGCATCTAAGGATTCAGGCGACAACAAACCAGTTTTACCACACTATTTTATATGGCTGTGTATGTGTAGAGAGTACAGTCCTGGATATTTGTAAAAAACATGGTGGCCTCATGCACAACACACAGTCGTCTTTCTTTCTCTCTCTCTCTCTCTCTCTTTTTCTCCTACTGTGGTTGGTTGACTCAATGACACAGATACAATCTAAATATAAGGCCATGGACCTGCACAGAAATGATGCCGCCTGTCTGTCTGTTTTTTTATTCTTTGATTCCAGACGTGCAATGTGTCCCCTGGATGTTAGCATTAGAATTATCAACCACATAGGTTGTATGAATGATGTTGGAGGATGTATTATTTTAATTTAAACTGTAAAATATTTATTCTTATCTTCAACAGAAATTAGGTTAAATGTCTTTGCTACACCGCTCAGAGCTTATCAAGTGCTGTTCAACACTGTAATTCATGCTACAGGGACTTTGGCCTACGAAGAATCACATCGGGCTTGTTCCCTTTTGCTTACACACACATGTGCTACAGGACAGAAGATGGGACTGTAAAAATATTACTGCTTTGTAGAACATAAAGACATATAGGGAGCAATATCATAACAGGCATCTGCTTCCAATATGTATGTAATATAAGTTATGCATATCAAACTGAGGTCCTTGGAAATCACACAGATTAAATCACTCAAGGACAAACAGTAAAGAGAGAGTGCACACAGGCCTATAGATCAGACAAATGATCTGTGTGGGTGGGAGGGAAAAGAGGGATTCTTGTCATTTACAATACAGAGGAAAAAAATATCCTTGCACATTTCCCCCTTAAAAGAGACGTCAAAAGCAGAAGTCACATTGATGACATTAATTACTTGACAGCTTTGGTGCTTTAGGTTTTCAGCTTCACATGTTTATACAGGAGAAATTTAAGAATCTTTTACAGAATATTTTAAGAAACAGGACAAAAAGTAACATTTTATCAAGAAAATATATTTAATCAAAATTTTAAAACTTCATTTCAGTCTTTATTTCTGATGGAAAATATATGTCAGTGATGAATTGGCAGGGTCCCTACTGGGTGAGTTGGTTCTGTTGTTGCAGAGAGAACATTGTCTACAGAGCTGGCAAGCTGTGAACTGAAGCGTATTCATAGTTCTCTGCTTGTATGTAGGAGGTATGAGCTGGGAATGCACCAAGCAGTGTTTGAGGATGCTGGTGCAGTTATGGATAACAGTGGGTTGTTGTTTCTTTAAAGCAACATGAAGCTGTTTTATTGTGTTTCTTCTAGCATACAAGAGAATAGTGGAGACGGCAGACTATACACTGAGAAGGTTTCTGTGGAGGTTTTTATGAAGGTTTATATCCCTCTCTCTTTATTGTTTGCTTCTTTGCATGACCAAGGCTGTAGTAAACATTATTTATAAAGAGATTAAGAGCTAAATTGATTTAATGGATAAATCCTCCCATTTTGGCAGTAATGAGAATGTATGTATATTTTAATTTGTGTATTTAATTTATTATCACTTTGAAAAATTCATATGAATTGCCCAGTGCTTCAGACTATTTGCTGTTTCAGATTTCTTCGTTGGGATTTACAGATTAGTTTGATGTATGCAATGCTATTCATAAAGATTTTTTGTGTAAAATGAAATCCCAAAACTCATCCCTAAACCCCCTTATTTGTAGTTCAGCGTGGTGCATCATTTTATCAGGTTTTTAGGAGAGATTTAGTGACGCTGTTGTTTATGATCTCACCTGCATCATCCTGCCTGTTACTTTAGATCCACAGAAAGCCGACGGAACTAAGAGGGTTTTGTTCGGGTTTATGTTAATGATTTGATTCACTGATCTGTGTTGTGATTATCTCTCAAGACAGGCCGACTCATAGGACTCCCTCAAAACACAGATTTATTAGATCCTTCACCATGTTAATTTCCAAAATGTCTCTGAAAAGGTCAAGTCCCCCTATGTCTGTGAAATCAGCTTGAATTAATTATGTGAACATATGAAAATACATCTCAAATCCCCAAATACATTAAAAACCATGACTGATCTTTGGAAGATTTGTTTTAATTTCCCTTTTATTCGATAATCTTTCTGTTTGCTTCCATCCATTTGGGATTTTTCCTCTTCTATCTTTAATATTTGACAAATTATTCTTTTTTAACATTCTATCTCTCTGGTGGTCAGTTTAAGATCAGACATCCAGTTCAACCACATGTCTGCAGTAAACACATGAAGCTCCTCTCACAAATAGACTGGATCTCTCAGTTAAGCTTTGAATCACTTTCTCGTGTTTGTCCAGTACATTTGCCTGCATCTGCTCATACATAAAAGTTGCTTCATTGTATTACGCCTTTAGCAGAGGACAGCACGACAGCAGCGACACTCGCTTGTCAGGTACGTCATGGTGAGTCCCTACATGCTGACCGCGTGTGTTCTTTGTATCAAAGCATGTTTCTGCTGAGAAAGTGGAGCCACCAGAGTGTGCTGTCTGCTGGCCCTACACAAAGCTACATCACAGCTGCTCTAGAATTATCCGACAATGTCTAGAACTACAGCTTTGGGGCGTGATGGCAGGAAATTGAAGTGCACCATTGACTCACCTGTGTCGTTCTCAGAGGGGCCAGACGTCCTGACAAATAACTGCTGCTATTGAAACACACCAAGTATCCAGCTCTGTGTTCATGTGAGACACTTAGGGGATGCAGTAGTGGACAGGATGAGAGAACAAAGATAAGTTGCTGATTATTAAAGAACTTCCCATTCATTCAACAAAATGTTAATGTCGATACATGCAGTGGAAAGTGATGTAGCGAGATCTGACAGTTGCAGCCTCCTTCCAGGCTCTGTCACTGGTGTTAATTGACTCTGGAGTTGTTTGGCACTCACATTATCCCACAGAGACCCAAACATACAGGGGATATTTCAAATTCCGTGTCGCTTACAAGCCCTCAAACGTAAAAGATCACTAGGAGAATGGTGTATTAGCTGCTTACAGAGCTCCTGGCCTTAAGTGCAGTGAGCTCTTGCAGTGAACCCATTCCCAGTGTCATTTGGATCAAGTGAGTAAGCTGGGAGGTGCAGGCTCATTCTCTCCTCAGCTCAGCTCCTCTGTTGATGTTAGCACTTCATTGAATGGTGTGGACATTACTGAGGACAGGCAGCATAGTGCTGAATTGAGATCACTGGCCAGCATTCTTCTGTGCCCTTGGGGTTTTCCTGGTGTGTGTCACTGCTGGCAAAGCCTCGGTCCGGCTTGCAAAGCTTCCTCCAGCTGCAGCTGAGCGTCAGTAGCTGCTAAATCACACCCACCATCCCATCTACGGACCATAACTATTGGACCCTAACTTATGTTTTTACATAAAACATTTCACCCTGTTCACATAAGAGCCAACTCTAGTTATGCTGCTGCTGCCTGTTCTTGGTCCATCAGAGCAGTGGTCAGCTGGTTGACCTAAAACCCTCTCCTCCTCTCAGCTTGTGGCTGAACGGGAGTATAAGACTTGCTGATATGAGCCCATCAGACTGCCCACATGGTCAGTGGGATGAAGCCAAGAGGAGCTCACTGCCTTCTCTTTGTTCACAAAGAGGAGCTCTGAAGAGGCAGGATATATCTTTCTTTCGCAGCCACCCCTCCAACTGCCCTTGGACCTTGTGCGTGTGGGGAATGCTGCAATCTAATACATAGAAGAAAGGCTGATCCGGGCATCTATGGCCTCTTCTTACCAGCCCCAGCCGTGCGTCAGCAGTGGTAGCTCTACTCCGTCCCACTCACTCTGATGAATGAACAGTGTGAAAATATTTATTTCCCTGACTGAGAAGCTTCTCACATTTTTGCCAAAATTCAAACTGCTGTAAAGGTTCAGTGTGTAAGTTTTTGGTGAAAGGGATCTATTGGCAATCCTAATGATGTTTTCACAAGTGTGTTTCACCTAAATTGTATGATTTGTTGTTTTCTGTACCATAGAATGGACCCTTTATATTTGAATGCTTTTACATCGGGAGCGGCTCCTCTCTTCTGAGGCTGTCATGTTTTTTACAGTAGTTCAAACTGGACAAACTAAACACCTTTTGAGTTTTTATGATACCTGAAGGCTACCACAGGTTCTCTTTCATGATTGGAAGGAGAGGGTGAGGTGAGGGGTGTTCACCTGCAACATGCAATTTCACCATTAGATGTCACTAAATTCTACGCACTGACCCTTTAACTTCCCATGCAAACAATGTATGACAAAGGAAATTCACACTGCTAGCCAGTTAGCCAGTAGGCTTATTTTTTTTACTTCCACAGTTTGTGTTTGTATTGATCACTTGTAATGGCACACGATTATTCATGGCCATTTGCTGCATGTTTTGTTGCCAGAGCTCTCCCAGTACGGTGCGAATGCATGAGGGAACCAAACATAGGACAAGAAATGGTGGTGAAAACAACAATCCAATGATGCTACGCTTCAAGAGTTCATCAAACTAGGTCTTTTGTCATTGTTGTGATTGAGAGACCCCTAG